TAACCTCCACAGAACAGTGAGTGTAGTTGTCTACTGAAAAACTTGAAAAATTAATTTTAAAACTGTAAAGGTAGAGAAACCATGCAGGGTTTTGAACCTTCTGCTGTGTTAGAAACCCCAGTTTCTCCAGTGAGGAACTTCCCAGATCCGGTTTCTGTGCACGTATTCCCAGTTTTAGTGTGAACAAGCTAACTGGAGAGCCATTTCCTCAGTTTAGAGGAGTGTCATTAGAATCAGAACATGGAACAGCTCATGCCTAAGAATGGCAGCATTTCCTTGAAGTCACTTCATATTTCCCGCAGGCAAAAGGACAGCACAGCAATGTTCCAGCATTCATGGCTCTTGTGATCTGAGAGCAGGATGTGCTGGAATCACCATTCCTGAAAGGATTTAAAAGCAGTATGGATGTAGCACTTGGGGACATGGTTTAGTGGAGGTCTTGGCAGTGTTGGGTGGAGAATTGTATTCAATGGGGGCTTTTCCAACTTTATCAATTCTATAATTCAGTGATTTCTCCCTCACAGAATGCGAGCACACCTACCATGATGCAGGAATATAGTGGTCAGAGTGAGTTCAGGGGAGAAGGTCAGTGTGGAAGGGAAGGTCAGAGACCTGAGTAGGGGCAGAATAGGGGGTGAGTGCAAACTGTGCTTTCTGTCATTTGTGACATGACACTGTGCTTTGTGCAGCAGCAAATGCATCCTGCTCACACCATCCATGAGCCTTGGAGCTGTAGCACATTCCCTTCCCTTCCTGGCCCCTCCCCAACCTGTGCCATGGCAGCCTGAGCTGCAGCGATGGCACTGGACAACTCCTCCCGCGTGACTGAATTCATCCTCCTGGGGCTCTCCGACACCTGGGAGCTGCAACTCCTCTTCTTCATGTTCTTCCTCCTGGCCTACACCATGGTCCTGCTGGGCAACCTCCTCATCATTGTGACAGTCAGGACTGACCCCAAGCTCTCCTCACCCATGTACTTCCTCCTCTGCAATCTGTCCTTCATCGATATCTGCTACACTTCTATTACTGCCCCCAGGGTGCTGGTGGCCCTGCTCTCAGGGCACAAGGCCATTACCTTTGGGGGCTGCATGGCCCAGCTGTTTTTCCTGCACTTTGTGGGCTCCTCAGAGATGTTCCTCCTGACGGTGATGGCCTTTGACCGCTACACGGCCATCTGCAGGCCCCTGCACTACACGGCCATCATGGCCCGCAGAGCCTGCTGGGCGCTGGTCGCGGCCTGCTGGGCCGGGGGTTTTATCCACTCCTTTGTCCAGACTGTGCTCATGCTCCAGCTGCCCTTCTGCGGCCCCAACACCATCCACAGCTGCTTCTGTGATGTGCCGCCCGTCATCCGCCTGGCCTGCACCAACACCGCCCTCATCGAGTGGCTCATGGCCTCCAACAGCGGCCTCATCTCCCTGGGCTGCTTCCTGGTGCTGGTGGCCTCCTATGCCCTCATCCTCGCCAAGGTCCGGGCCCGCGTCTCCCAGGGGAACTGGAAGGCTCTGTCCACATGTGCCTCACACGTGATGGCCATCACCCTGTTCTTCGTGCCCTGCATCCTCACTTACCTGCGGCCCGCTGGGACCTTGCCCCCCAGCAAATACGTCTCTGTCATCTACACCATCTTGTCACCCATGATGAACCCCCTCATCTACACCCTGAGGAGCAGCGAGGTGAAGGAATCCATGTGGAGACTCTGGAAGAGCTGCCGAACCTTCTGACACAGGCTGGGTTGGCAGGACTCTGGAGTTACACCCAGAGTTACACCTGGAGTCATATTCCTGCTCTACTCCTACACAATAATGACTCAGTGGGTAAAGCCCACAGACTTCCAATTATGTACAAATACATTTCTATACACATATTATTCTTCATATTAAAAATCAATGCTGAAAACCCCAAACTTCCTAAACACTTTCACTCATGTGGGATCATAATTTTCAAATAAATGAACGAATCCAGTGTGAGGCTTGTCTCTCTCTCTAACATGCCTTTCCTGTGCTGTGACAGCAGATGGCACAGGCACATGCACTAAGTGTCCCCAATTCAACCACCAACAATGGAAGACAGAGACAGTGCAGATTCTGCTTGTAGGGTTTCCTTTAGACATATAAGAATGTTTTTAGTCATAATTCTCTCACAGAAGTGAGCTATTTAAATCATACAAGGCACAATACATAGAGGAAGGAGGAGGAGTGGAGATGGATTCCAGAGACAAAGAGTGTCCTGCATGTAGGCTGGACAAGAGGGAATGGCTTTACACTGGCACAGGGTGTGTTTAGATGGGATATGGGCAAGAAATTCTTCCCTGTGGTGGTCTGGCATGGGTTTCCCATGGCAGTCCTGTCCCTGGAAATGCTACAGGCCAGGATGAATGGGGCATGGAGCAATGTGGGATATCAGGGATAGTGAAAGGTATCCCTGCCCTTGGTAGAGGGTTGGAATGAAATGGTCTTTAAAGTCCCGTCTGCCCCAAACAGCTATTCTGCAATTCCATCAGTCTCCTGTAATTCTATCTACTTCATCTGTCTCTGCCCAAGACAGCAGGAAATAAAATAAATTTATTTTTAAATGCTTTGGAGGTGAGTAACAATGGGATTTTTTTTAGAGGTCTCATTTCTGGGTGATTCTGAGCAAATATTCACCCATAGCTTATGGAAGGTGTCACTGGAAACTGTGTCAGGCTCCTCTACACTTTGCAAAGAATTCTTACAAGAATTTCATACTTGAGCTCAAAAGTTGCTCATGCGCTTTACTGTGTCAGTAAAAATACATGCCGAGCAAGGAAGGCTCACCACAAATCTTTGTGCATTTTTTGAAATGATTTCCAACTTACTTCTTGTTTTAAAGTTTTAAATCAGGTGTCTGAGGGATGACATCAGTGATATTTTGCTTTGTGCTGTCAACATGTAAGTTAGTAAGAAATAAGATTGTAGATGAGAAAGACAGGCTTATGACAAAAAGCAAAATTTGTATCCATTTACATGAATTTATATAAATGTCCTATGTCAGAGACATCTTTATCTGATGTCTCTCTCCAGGGATTAAAGTAATAACTACCTAAGGAACAATTTAGTTCCTTGCCCACTGAGGTTTTCTGACAAAACTCCCTTTGCCTCTGGGATCTCATTACTCCTGATAGCCTTGTGCCTTGAGGTTCAGGTACACCTTGTGGTGTACCTGAACTATTTCTGCTACAGAAATAATTGCACCTGAAGATGCTCCTGGAGGTTGCTTTTTTGATTTTTTTTTTTTTTTTGGTTTGGTTTTTTTTTTGCATAATGAGAAGTACAGAAGGTTGAGCTGTTCTTTTCAGGGCTTAGAGTTGGCAGAGATACAGAGCTGCTTCCATAACTTCTAAGCAGTGCCTTGCAGAGACTTTCTGAGGGAACTGAGAGGTTCTGATGGAACCCCCTGAATTGGTTTGGGGAGGTCGTCAGAGGAGCGACAGCAAGTGAGCTCTGTGGAAGTGTTCTGGGATTGTTCCTTTGTTTTGCTCGGGGCCCACTGAAATCCTGCCTTTGCAAAGCAGCATTGCTGGTGAGTGACTTTTGAGAGGTCTATTTTATGACTTAGAATAAAAGAACATTAAAAAATCAGTCGCAGATTTAGAATCCCAGAATGGATTGGGCTGGAAGGCACCTTAAAGCTCATCTTGTTCTGATCCCCTGCAACAAGGGGATTGCTCTGGTTGCTCCAAGCCCTGTCCAGCCTGGTCTTGAGCACTTTCAGGAATATCACACACTAGTGATCCTGGTGTTCTGCGTGGGAATGCTGTAAGGGTGGATTTGTGGGTGTTTGTCAGCAAAGCAGAAACATCTCAGTCAGTAGTCTAGTGTCACCACAGGTGTATTTATGGGGTGTTTCACACCTCAGCCAGGACCTCGGTATTATTTCTACCACCCTCCTCAGCTAAATAACCAGAGCTTGTTATTACACATGTCCGTGACATATTCTGGCTTTGATTTCACTGTCACTCCTTCAGGGAAGCACTGGCTTTAAACTGAAATTGTCCCAAAAAGACAGCAGAAGAAATACAGTGGATATTCAACATACCAGAAGACAATATGTGTGTCCTGTTAATGTCCACTGTCTAATGATTTGGCCTTTTAGATCTTTTAATGCAGCTTTATTCAATGCTGTTAGCATCATAAATATCTGGTTTCTTACTTGTTGACTCCTGCTTGCTGAGATATAAACTCCTCAGCCGAAATGAGCAGTAAAGGAATTTCCTGGAGGGATTTTAAATGGACAAGCGAATTCCTCTGCTGCTCCCACTGTAACCTCCACAGAACAGTGAGTGTAGTTGTCTACTGAAAAACTTGAAAAATTAATTTTAAAACTGTAAAGGTAGAGAAACCATGCAGGGTTTTGAACCTTCTGCTGTGTTAGAAATCCCAGTTTCTCCAGTGAGGAACTTCCCAGATCCGGTTTCTGTGCACGTATTCCCAGTTTTAGTGTGAGTAAGTTAACTGGAGAGCCCTTTCTTTAGTTTAGAGGAGTGTCATTAGGATCAGAACATGCAACAGCTATTGCCTGAAAATGGCACCATTTCCTTGTAGTCACTTCAAATTTCCAGCAGGCAAAAGGACAGCACAGCATTTTTCCTGCATTCATGGCTCTAGTTATCTGAGAGCAGGATGTGCTGGAATCACCATTCCTGAAAGGATTTAAAAGCAGTATGGGTGTAGCACTTCGGGACATGGTTTAGTGGAGGGCTTGGCAGGGGTCGGGGGAGAATTGGACTCAATGGGGGCTTTTCCAACTTTATCAATTCTATAATTCAGTGATTTCTCTTTCACAAAATGGGAGCACACCCACCATGATGCAGGAAAGCAGTGGTCAGAGTGAGTTCAGGGGAGAAGGTCAGTGTGGAAGGGTAGGCAAGAGACCTGAGTAGGGGCAGAATAGGGGGTGAGTACAAACTGTGCTTTCTGTCATTTGTGACATGACACTGTGCTTTGTGCAGCAGCAAATGCATCCTGCTCACACCATTCATGAGCCTTGGAGCTGTAGCACATTCCCTTCCCTTCCTGGCCACCCCCCGACCTGTGCCATGGCAGGACAACTCCTCCCGGGTGACTGAATTCATCCTCCTGGGGCTCTCCGACACCCGGCAACTGCAACTCCTCTTCTTCATGTTCTTCCTCCTGGCCTACACCATGGTCCTGCTGGGCAACCTCCTCATCATCATGACAGTCAGGACTGACCCCAAGCTCTCCTCACCCATGTACTTCCTCCTCTGCAATCTGTCTTTCATCGATATCTGCTGCACTTCTGTCACTACCCCCAGGGTGTTGGTGGCCCTGCTCTCAGGGCACAAGGCCATTGCCTTTGAGGGCTGCATGGCCCAGCTGTTTTTCCTGCACTTTGTGGGCTCCTCAGAGATGTTCCTCCTGACGGTGATGGCCTTTGACCGCTACACGGCCATCTGCAGGCCCCTGCACTACACGGCCATCATGGCCCGCAGAGCCTGCTGGGCGCTGGTCGCGGCCTGCTGGGCCGGGGGCTTTATCCACTCCATTGTCCAGACTGTGCTCATGCTCCAGCTGCCCTTCTGCGGCCCCAACACCATCCACAGCTACTTCTGTGACGTGCCGCCCGTCATCCGCCTGGCCTGCACCAACACCGCCCTCATCGAGTGGCTCATGGCCTCCAACAGCGGCCTCATCTCCCTGGGCTGCTTCCTGGTGCTGGTGGCCTCCTATGCCCTCATCCTCGCCAAGGTCCGGGCCCGCGTCTCCCAGGGGAACTGGAAGGCTCTGTCCACATGTGCCTCACACGTGATGGCCATCACCCTGTTCTTCGTGCCCTGCATCCTCACTTACCTGCGGCCCGCTGGGACCTTGCCCCCCAGCAAATACGTCTCTGTCATCTACACCATCTTGTCACCCATGATGAACCCCCTCATCTACACCCTGAGGAGCAGCGAGGTGAAGGAATCCATGTGGAGACTCTGGAGGCATTGCAGAACCTTCTGACACAGGCTGGGTTGGCAGGACTCTGGAGTTACACCCAGAGTTACACCTGGAGTCATATTCCTGCTCTACTCCTACACAATAATGACTCAGTGGGTAAAGCCCACAGACTTCCAATTATGTACAAATACATTTCTATACACATATTACTGTTAATATTAAAAATCCATGCTGAAAACCCCAAACTTCCTAGACACTTGCACTCGTGTGGGATCATAATTTTCAAATAAATAAATGAATCCAGGGTGAGGCTTGTCTCTCTCTCTAACATGCTTTTCCTGTGCTGTGACAGCAGATGGCAGAGGCACATGCACTAAGTGTCCCCAATTCAACCACCAACAATGGAAGACAGAGACAGTGCAGATTCTGCTTGCACGGTTTCCTTTAGACATATAAGAATATTTTTAGTCATAATTCTCTCACAGAAGTGAATTATTTAAATCATACAAGGCACAATATATAGAGGAAGGAGGAGGAGTGGAGATGGATTCCAGAGACAAAGAGTGTCCTGCATGTAGGCTGGACAAGATGGAATGGCTTTAAACTGGCACAGGGTGTGTTTAGATGGGATATTGGGAAGAAATTCTTCCCTGTGGTGGTCTGGCATGGGTTTCCCATGGCAGTCCTGTCCCTGGAAATGCTACAGGCCAGGATGAATGGGGCATGGAGCAATGTGGGATATCAGGGATAGTGGAAGGTATCCCTGCCCTTGGTAGAGGGTTGGAATGAAATGGTCTTTAAAGTCCCGTCTGCCCCAAACAGCTATTCTGCAACTCCATCATTCTCCTATAATTCTATCTACTTCACCTGTCTCTGCCCAAGACTGCACTTGATAAAATAAATGTATTTTTAAATGCTTTGGAGGTGAGCAACAATGGGATTTTTTTAGAGGTCTCACTTCTGGGTTATTCCGAGCAAATATTCACCCATGGCTTATGGAAGGTGTCACTGGAAACTGTGTCAGGCTCCTCTACATTTTGCAAAGAATTCTTTCAAGAATTTCATACTTGAGCTCAAAATATTCTTCTGTGCTTTCCCGTGTCCGTAAATATACATCCCAAGCAAGGAAATCTCACCACAAATCTTTGTGCTTTTCTTTAAATGATTTCTTGCATCACTTCTTGTTTTAAAGTTTTAAATCAGGTGTCTGAGGGATAACATCAGTGATATTTTGCTTTGTGCTGACAACGTGTAAGTTAGTAAGAAATAAGATTGTAGATGAGAAAGACCGGCTTACGAGAGAAAGCAAAATTTGTATCCAGTTATGTGAATTTATTTAAATGTCCTATGTCAGAGACATCTTTATCTGATGTCTCTCTCCAGGGATTAAAGTAGTAATTACCCAAGGAACAACTTAGTTCCTTGCCACTGAGGATTTCTGGAAAAACTCCCTTTGCCTCTGGGATCTCATTACTCCTGATAGCCTTGTGCTTTGCAGTGTGATTTACCTGAACGTTTTCTGCTAAAGGAATAATTGCACTTGAAGATGCTCCTGGAGGTTGCTTTTTTGATTGGTTTTTTGGTTTGTTGGGTTTTTTTTGGTTTTTTTTTTTTGCATAATGGGAAATACAGAAGGTTGGGCTGTTCTTTTCAGGGCTTAGAGTTGGCAGAGATACAGAGCTGCTTCCATAACTTCCAAGCAGCACCTTGCAGAGACTTTCTGATGGAACTGAGAGGTTCTGATGGAACCCCCTGAAGTGGTTTGGGGAGGTCGTCAGAGGAGCGACAGCAAGTGAGCTCTGTGGAAGTGTTCTGGGATTGTTCCTTTGTTTTGCTCAGGCCCCACTGAAATCCTGCCTTTGCAAAGCAGCATTGCTGGTGAGTGACTTTTGAGAGGTCTATTTTATGACTTAGAATAAAAGAACATTAAAAAATCAGTCGCAGATTTAGAATCCCAGAATGGATTGGGCTGGAAGGCACCTTAAAGCTCATCTTGTTCTGATCCCCTGCAACAAGGGGATTGCTCTGGTTGCTCCAAGCCCTGTCCAGCCTGGTCTTGAGCACTTTCAGGAATATCACACACTAGTGATCCTGGTGTTCTGCGTGGGAATGCTGTAAGGGTGGATTTGTGGGTGTTTGTCAGTAAAGCAGAAACATCTCAGTCAGTAGTCTAGTGTCACCACAGGTGTATTTATGGGGTGTTTCACACCACAGCCAGGACCTCGGTATTATTTCTACCACCCTCCTCAGCTAAATAACCAGAGCTTGTTATTACACATGTCCGTGACATATTCTGGCTTTGATTTCACTGTCACTCCTTCAGGAAAGCACTGGCTTTAAACTGAAATTGTCCCAAAAAGACAGCAGAAGAAATACAGTGGATATTCAACATACCAGAGGACAATGTGTGTGTCCTGTTAATGTCCACTGTCTAATGATTTGGCCTTTTAGATCTTTTAATGCAGCTTTATTCATTGCTGTTAGCATCATAAATATCTGGTTTCTTACTTGTTGACTCCTGCTTGCTGAGATATAAACTCCTCAGCAGAAATGAGCAGTGAAGGAATTTCCTGGAGGGATTTTAAATGGATATGTGCATTCCTCTGCTGCTCCCACGGTAACCTCCACAGGACAGTGAGTGTAGTTATCTACAGAAAAGCTTTAAAAATTCCCTTAAAAATTATAAAGATAGAGAAACCATGCAGGGTTTTGAAGCTTCTGCTGTGTTAGAAATCCCAGTTTCTCCAGTGAGGAACTTCCCAGATCCGGTTTCTGTGCACGTATTCCCAGTTTTAGTGTGAATAAATTAACTGGAGAGCCCTTTCCTTAGTTTAGAGGAGTGTCATTAGGATCAGAACATGGAACAGCTCATGCCTGAAAATGGCAGCATTTCCTTGTAGTCACATCAAATTTCCAGCTGGCAAAAAGACAGCACAGCATTTTTCCTGCATTCATGGCTCTAGTTATCTGAGAACAGGATGTGCTGGAGTCACCATTCCTGAAAGGATTTAAAAGCAGTATGGATGTAGCACTTGGGGACATGGTTTAGTGGAGATCTTGGCAGTGTTGGGGGGAGAATTGGACTAAATGGGAGCTTTTCCAACTTTAACAATACTTTAATTCAGTGATTTCTCCCTCACAGAATGGGAGCACACCAACCATGATGCAGGAAAATAGTGATCAGAGTGAGTTCATGGGAGGTCAGTGTGGAAGGGCGGGCCAGACACCTGAGTAGGGGCAGAATAGGGGGTGAGTACAAACTGTGCTTTCTGTCATTTGTGACATGACACTGTGCTTTGTGCAGCAGCAAATGCATCCTGCTCACACCATTCATGAGCCTTGGAGCTGTAGCACATTCCCTTCCCTTCCTGGCCACCCCCCGACCTGTGCCATGGCAGCCTGAGCTGCAGCGATGGCACTGGACAACTCCTCCCGCGTGACTGAATTCATCCTCCTGGGGCTCTCCGACACCTGGGAGCTGCAACTCCTCTTCTTCACGTTCTTCCTCCTGGCCTACACCATGATCCTGCTGGGCAACCTCCTCATCATTGTGACAGTCAGGACTGACCCCAAGCTCTCCTCACCCATGTACTTCCTCCTCTGCAATCTGTCCTTCATCGATATCTGCTACACTTCTATTACTGCCCCCAGGGTGCTGGTGGCCCTGCTCTCAGGGCACAAGGCCATTGCCTTTGAGGGCTGCATGGCCCAGCTGTTTTTCCTGCACTTTGTGGGCTCCTCAGAGATGTTCCTCCTGACGGTGATGGCCTTTGACCGCTACACAGCCATCTGCAGGCCCCTGCACTACACGGCCATCATGGCCCGCAGAGCCTGCTGGGCGCTGGTCGCGGCCTGCTGGGCCGGGGGCTTTATCCACTCCATTGTCCAGACTGTGCTCATGCTCCAGCTGCCCTTCTGCGGCCCCAACACCATCCACAGCTACTTCTGTGACGTGCCGCCCGTCATCCGCCTGGCCTGCACCAACACCGCCCTCATCGAGTGGCTCATGGCCTCCAACAGCGGCCTCATCTCCCTGGGCTGCTTCCTGGTGCTGGTGGCCTCCTACACCCTCATCCTGGCCAAGGTCCGGGCCCGCGTCTCCCAGGGGAACTGGAAGGCTCTGTCCACGTGTGCCTCACACGTGATGGCCATCACCCTGCTCTTCATGCCCTGCGTCGTCACCTACCTGCGGCCCGCTGGGACCTTGCCCCCCAGCAAATACGTCTCTGTCATCTACACCATCTTGTCACCCATGATGAACCCCCTCATCTACACCCTGAGGAGCAGCGAGGTGAAGGAATCCATGTGGAGACTCTGGAGGCATTGCAGAACCTTCTGACACAGGCTGGGTTAGCAGGACCCCGGAGTTACACCCAGAGTTACACCTGGAGTCACGTTCCTGCTCTACTCCTGCACAATAATGACTCAGTGTCTAAAGCCCACAGACTTCCAATTATGTACAAATACATTTCTATACACATATTACTGTTAATATTAAAAATCCATGCTGAAAACCCCAAACTTCCTAAACACTTGCACTCGTGTGGGATCATAATTTTCAAATAAATAAATGAATCCAGGGTTAAGCTTGTCTCCCTCTCTAACATGCTTTTCCTGTGCTGTGACAGCAGATGGCAGAGGCACATGCACTAAGTGTCCTCAATTCATCCACCAACACTGGACGACCGAGACAGTGCAGATTCTGCTTGTAGGGTTTCCTTTCGACATATAAGAATATTTTTAGTCATAATTCTCTCACAGAAGTGAATTATTTAAATCATACAAGGTCCAATATATGGCGGAAGGAGGAGGAGTGGAGATGGACTCCAGAGACAAAGAGTGTCCTGCATGTAGGCTGGACAAGATGGAATGGCTTTAAACTGGCACAGGGTGTGTTTAGATGGGATATTGGGAAGAAATTCTTCCCTGTGGTGGTCTGGCATGGGTTTCCCATGGTAGTCCTGTCCCTAGAAGTGTTCCAGGCCAGCTTGGATGGGGCTTGGAGCAATGTGGGATATCAGGGATAGTGGAAGGTGTCTCTCTCAATGGCAGGGGGGTGGAATGGGATTGTCTATAAGGTCCCTTCCAACCCAAACTGCCTCTGTGAGGGCAGCAGTTACATCACCAAATCCTTTAGGGATAGAAATTCAGTGGTTTTCATGAGAGGAACACCATCAATTTCATTGTTTTAAAATTATTTAGGATTGGATTCATCCCACCTAAATAAAATCATGGAATCACTGAGACGGGAAAAGCCCTCTAAGATCATCAAGTCCAACATTCCGCAGGGCTACTCAGGCCACCACTAACCCATGTCCCCAAGTGCCACATCCACACAGCTTTTAAATCCTTTCAGGATTAGCCGCTCTACCGCTGCCCTGGGCAGTCCATTCCAGGGCTGGAAAACCCTTCCCATGAAGGAATTTTTCCTAATGTCCAATTTAAATTGCTGCACAGGAAGTGAAAGGATTTCCACATTTCCTGTCTCTCCTCACTGTCTTAAATTAGCCCTCACTCCCACACCTGTAGGAATAGGAGGATCAGAAGCATCAGTGAGTCATTGATCTTCCTGGTTAAAAGAGATTTCCAAACATCTCCCATCCTTGTGCAAATGAGATTTCTTTTTAATAGTGAATTTCTACTCAGGATCATCACAGAATGGTTTGGGCTGGAAGGGAGCTTTTCTTTTTTAGTATTAGAGAAAAATGTTGAACAATTAAAATTTCTTTAGGTCAATGAGGGTAAATTTCAATTGAGAAAAAAAAATGTATCACTGTGATATTTTTTTTAACATTCCAATAAAGCTTCTATGAATATTTTATGTATAAATCAATGCAACGCAAATTGGAACGGTGGTCCAGTTATTTTGCTGGTGTCAATTTGTTCACCAGGTATAAACTGGGGGCATCAACAGTGAACTGATTTGAAAGAACTGCTCCAATTTTGATAAAATAAATAAAAATTCCATATTTTTGGGAGCTGGGATTTCAAGCGGCTTGGAGCAATCTGATCCAGTAGAATATGTCCCTGCCCATTGCAACGGGTTGGAATGGGATGAGCTTAAAAGTCCC